CTGCTAGTCTTACTACAGGAGATTTGGATCATGCAAATCCATGTACCTTTTTTTGTTTTTTTTTCTTGATAAAGTGTAGAGAATTACCTTTTTTTAGCTGCATGAAGTTTTCAAATAATCTATTTTTTCTTCTCTGATGAAAATTACCATGTCTGTAGCTCTCTACTCACTACTATTTTACTACAATTTTCAGATGCTTACATCTTTTGCACTAAGGCGTGCATAGTTATAGATCGGTAAGAACCTTCTACTATTTAATCTTTAGCATTGTGTTTGCTGAAAGTAGTAAATGTGCATTTGCTGGTTTTTCTATATTGTTTTTGCTCTATCAAAATAACTAATTGTTTTTGAAATGTTTAGGATTAAATTATGCTTGCAATTATCGTTTTAAGCTACTTCAAGTCTTACCGTGGTTGTGTTTGGTTTGATCTTCTGTTGCTCATGTGTTAAGAGTGCTTGTTGTATCTCCGTGGATTTGTATCTCCGTGGATTTGCCTTGGAAGTGACCTTACTGGTCCTTTTGATATATAGAATCACTCATCTTGGGATTTTGTTGTATAAGCTCGTTTAAATTTTCTCATAGCTTAGACATGGTTAGTATTTGTAATAGATACATAGAATGGGGCATGGTGGTTTGTTGTTTTTAATGAATTGAATATCTTTTCCATTGTAAATTACATTGAGTTATATTAATAGTAATTATACCAATTTTTAAATTTAATATTCTAGTGATGCTGCAAAATTTGAAATGGTGACCATGGCTAATTAGGTCACCGTATGATTATATTTTTTTTCAGAAATTTATTATTTAGTGACCAACAAAATTTAAAATTATCGACCAACAAAGTTGTTGTCGATTTGGTCACCAAAATCAGCTGCCCGGGCTGCCCATCAAAATTTCGGTAACCAACAAAATTGGTGACCAAGGTTTCTCATGGTCACTCTGACTTAGCAATTGGTCGCCTAAGGCCTTTAGCGACGAGACTTAGTCTAACTACCAAAAGTTGGTCACACCACCCGGTCACCAAAGACCATTTTAGTGACCAGAAACGGTTGGTCACCTAAGCCCTTTCTTTTGTACTGGTTCCGTAGACAATTGACTCTATGCATATTTCATATTCCTTTTTGTCTTAAAATTATTTTAGTACAATAAATATGGCAATAATTTTTGGATAGAGAAGAGAATATTTTGTTAACCTGTGGCGAAACTAGGGGAAACGGAAGGATACGGTCGCACCTATTTGATTTCTTATAATTAGTAGATGTATCTTAAATTTTAATAGAAAACTATGTATTGTATAGTTTTTGAAAACTATGTATTGCACCTCCTACATTGATTTATTAGCTTATTAGTAATTTTTTTCCCTAAATTTTGCACCTCTATATTGATTTTCTGCCTCCGCCAATGTTGGTTATAACTAATTCACGAATTCTTCTTTCATCTATCTTATTGTTTGAATCACTGAAAGTGATACGTGAAATCACAAATAGTGAAAAAGACAAAAGCATCTCTATGCGTTTGAGGGAATGATCAATTAATTTCTTCAATGACTCATGCAAGATGATGATAATGCAAAGCTTTTATCATTTTTTCTAAGAAAAATCAGTTGAATCATCTTGTTCTTCAACACATGTATTGTTACTAATCGGGTGATCTTCAAACTCTTATAGAACAATACGAACAAACTTCCCATACATTGTCACTTCCAACTATATATCATTCCATCTCCTTTTATCGTTTAATTTCTAGTATCATGGAAGCGATATTGTGTCTTCTATGTAGTAAATAGTCTCCTCTAATCTCCTCCACTCTATATGTAATTAGGAAAGTGAAGTCATTTCTTACACCTACTTTCTAAATAATGGATAGCTTTAACTTATATATGGAATACGATGTTTTTGAGATTTACTCACTGAGTGTGATTATTAAAGTGTGATCATTTATATAAACTGTTAAATCTTCCAAGTAACAAAAAAAATAAAAATAGAAATATGTGATCTGTTTCAATTTCGGAAAGTGTTTTACAACTGCCCGAAGAAAACTTAGGATTCCTCCTGACCGCAAAAACCACCAAAGCAAATTTTTAAGTAATGAAATCATGAAAGATATATCCACCTTGAAAATCGAAAAATTCCATTTAATGATTATCAAATTACTAATCACGACTTTTTCTTAAAATAACGGAAAGTATTATTGTGTACGTACGTAGTTGCATGTGATATCGACCGGTGATGAACAATAATAGAAAAGAGTCTACCTCCATTGTCATTAAAACAGTGGGCCAAAATATATATATATATATATATATATATATATATATATATATGGATATCAATGCATATACTACTAGCTATCGTGCCGATTTGGAGGACACTTTTGCATTTCTCTCTCTCTCTCTCTTTGGCCTTCTTTATATGATAATTCATTTTTTACCCTCACTTTCACTAAGATGCATCAAGGAGAATTTTCTTATATAGATTTTAGTTACGAGCTCGAATGCATAGAGCGAGATAAATGTTAGGAGATTATTGTGTAAAAAAAAGTCTACTTTAAGTCATATATAAATTAATTTGAATATGATATGTATTTACACGAATCACCTGATCTGAACATCCCATCAAACTTTAGGTAAGTTTGTCGATGCAAATGTGAAGGTTTTCGTATCTTTACAATGACTTTCCCAGACGATACATCAACGAGGGAATGAAATTACCTGATTAGATTAGAAAAGAAAGGTGACATCAAAGTTCTCGTGATCATCCCTAATCCCAAAGCAAAATGGAAAAAAAACAATCTTCTTAATCAGTATACAAAGCAAAAGATTGGACAATGCACGTGTCAAGAAAGTTGGAAATGTGGACTAAACTTTGGTGGCCGGAGAGATATCGAAAGCGAAATTTGGTCCAAACTAAATCTTCTTTGAAAGAAAATTAGTTGGACTCCTTTCTGAGAGAAGAGAAAATGGTCCAAATGTTTCTTTATCCCCGGTCCTCAATTCGATATTGTCCATTACATACAAACTTTTCTTTTTCTAAAAAAAAAGGTTACAAATTATGCAAGCAAGTTGAATTTATGGATTCATAGATTGCTATATATGTCTTTCTTACATAGTTAGCTAGAGACGAATTTACAAATAATTGTCTGACTTAGCATAGACTCGTATTGTTTCAATGTGATATTATTGAAGTTATTTGCCAAAAAATGTAAGTGTATAATTATTTATAATTTCTCAAAAAAAAAAGATAGAAAATTTATTCTTCATATAGCAATGGGTAGATTGCTTATTTAGTCAAATTATATGTTCAAATCACGTGTGCTACATTACATAACTCACTTTACTGGTTACTAAAAGATTAAAAGATATATCTAAAACTCTTCCAGTTCATGGATGACATGCAGTGAAAGATCTGAGCGAAAGATTTAATTTCGCCTAACATACACGATTTTTTTCTTGATTACGACAAAAAGTGCTATTAAAAAGATTAGTATTGAAAATGAGCACAACATAACTAAATCATGAAATGAAAGGACACTTGGATAATTTACAACGAAGAAAAGGACATCAATTAGTTGGTGGCCCTTGAGAGAAAAAGATTAAAAAAAAAAAAAACTAATTAATTATGCTTTCTTCCAACATGTTACTTAGCCAGTTCTAGCTAACGAAAGTCCTTGAATATTCTTTTAGTCGTGACTTATGGCCGGCGGCGATCCGGTTAACGAGTGAGTGATTAATTAATTAATCACATGTGAAATTAGTTGTCAACTAGCTAGTTTTAAAATAAACTTTAGTACATATATTATCAAAAGTTTAAAATTATTTAAGGATGGAAAAAATATATACCAAACTATGTTAAAATTTAATGGTGAGTCATTTCATAATCTTTACTTAGAGAAAGTTTAAATTTGTTTTCATATTTTTTTTAATTAGATAATCACTAAAGTCATGATTCTGGTAGATGCAAAGGTCTCCTCACTACACTGGCGTACTCCTAGGGAGGAGATACTGTCTAAGAACGGATAAGTTCAGTGAAAGATAGAATCACAAGTGGTATGATGGCAGCAGTATTTTATCATATTTGAGAGATAAGGAATCATGTCACTTTCAACTAGATACGAAATGAAGCAGAAGTGAGATAGAACATCTCGTTTTCTTTGAAATTGAACCTTTCCAAAATATCAAAGATGATGAATACTAGCTAGTCAGAACAGAAGGTGGTGCAAGAAGATCGGAATTTTCACTCAGTTCTCATGAAAACTAAAGGTCGGACCTATATGTGGTGATCTTTTAATTCTTAATTAAGTAGCTATGCAGTTGCAACAATTGTATATTTGTGAAGTCGGGACTGTTTGTCAAGTAACTACGAGTTTACTTATTTCATATTCAATTGGAACGAAAACTCAAATTTCATAATAAAAAAGAGGTTTGATTTTTGGTAGCAATATAGAGTTACAGTCGGTTGTCCCTCCTGTCCATGTCATTATCTTGTGTTGTACATCGAAGTTAATTAGAACATGTTAGCTGCTTAGCCCATGCCATTGTTGCGCCCCTCAACTGACGAACCAGTCACCAAGATTAGTAGTTTGTAGGCTACTGCAAAGGGAGTTTTTTTTTACAACTAAAATTCTACGATTACTGTAGAGAAGGTCTTTTTGCCTTAAAGCACTTTTTTTTTTTATTGATGGCAAGAGAAGAAATTTTCATGTTTCGGAACCGAGACAGATGTGTAATTATTTTCTAGTCCCAAAATGATTGTCTTGTTTAATTTTCATTTTTAGTACTATAGGAGTATTTGATTAAGAAGAAAGAGTTAGAAGTTTGAGATTCCTTAAAAATTAAAGTTGTAAGTAGAATTTGAAAAATTGCATTAGATTGAATTGTCGTTTTTTAAAACTTTTTCTTGTTTTGATGCTAGCTACTTAGGTTGTTACTGGTTTTTGGTACAAAAAGTATCGCATTAAGATTTACGAAATTGATTTCATGAGCGCAAATGAAATTTCCGGGGAAGAAAAAGAGAATGGAGGAATATTATTTCATGAAGGTCCACTGATTCTGATCTAAATTATCACAATTTCTATTTCATTATATAATTTTCTGTAATCGAAAATTAATTTCAGAGGAAAATTAAATTAACCACTGATATGTAATTTATTACAAAGTAAATATTTGATTCGAGAATTATATGTAAAGTAAACCTAGATCCTAATAAGCCAACATATATTTGATTCTTTTTTTAAAGAAAAAAAATTGTAAATAAAATTCAGACGCATGAAAGTGCTTTGGGGTTGCTTCCAGGTTGTAAATTTTCCTCCTTTGGAGCAGAAATTGCTTTCTGTGTCTCAACATCAGTATTTGTTGATGATGGAAATGTCTTCTTTTCTCCATCATTTTGCTCTTTAGTCTTTCCCCACAACACACAATAAAGCCCCAAAACAAGCAACAGTCCTCCGAGCACACTACCAAAAGAAATCACAATTTTAATAATACTACAACAGACATAACTTCTATTTTGGGACGCACAAAAAGTAATTTATGTAGGAATAATTTGGGAAGAAGACTAACAAAACTCATGTTTTGAAAAATGTCTCAGAAAAACTAGAAAGCTAAAATCAGTAAAGAGAGATTATATAGATTTACCTTCCAAAGCTAATGATTTCTCCCAAAAGGACAGCTGAAGAACAAATTGTGAACACAAGAATAAGAGGGGTTGTGACTGCTAGAAATACTGGTCCTCTCTTCTCAATAATCCAAGCTTGAATGTAAAATGTCACGCCAGTAACCACAATTCCCTGAAATATTTTTTTCTCATTTTTTAGATTTTATTTTATATTATTAATCAATATTAAGAAGTTATTTTCTTTTGCCAAAAAAGAAAAATCGAAAAGACTTACACAATAGGCGACAGATAGGAGTCTAAGGTTCCATCCAAGCTTCCACTCATTTGGATCTCTTACCAAAGCGATTGCTATAATGAATGACTGAATTGTGCTAAGGAAGCATTGAAGGGTTGTGGAGAGGAGCTTTGAGGGGTAACTTTTCAAAACTAAGCCCTGTTTTCAACCAATAAAATAATCAAAGTTAATTAATGATTTTTTTTAATCTTCCAAATCAATTAGATACATATCACTTATATCTCACTCAAAAGAGGTTTCGTAGTTATATAGATGTGTCAACCACTTGTTTTTCTTTTTCTTTTTTTTTTTTTTTGACGATGGATGTGAAGATGATTATTAGTATTATCGTGAAAATTGACGTGATGAAGAAATGATGTTACATTAGTCGGTGTCAAAAGAATATGTAATATTATATCGTGAGATTTAACTATTTTTTAAAAAGATGCAAGAATAATGAAAACCTTTATTAAAGAACCTTAATTGATTTGAACCATATTTTTGGTTTAAGAGAAAAATTTTTAATTTCTTTAGCATTAAATAAAAATATACCTGTAAAACAAGCCATGAGCCCCAAAGTACGTTGGAAAGAAGCATTAAAAAAACACCCTTTGTCCATGAGGAATTTGAAGAAGCATTATTGCCCTGAACTTGTGGGACGTGACTCTTGAATAGGTGATGGTGAACCAATAGTCTTAAATATGGCCCCTTCAAGAAGGCAATGGCTGCTGCTCCTCCTAAACAAAATATTATTCCCGTCACCTTTAGGACTCCAGCTATTGTCTTCAGCTTCACATTTTCCATCCTGCAATTTTGTCAAAAAAAAATTTAATTTACGAATTAATTTTTATAGCATGATAACGATATGCATGACTTGAATTTAATTTACGAAAATGTTACCACTACACGGCACTACCTTATAATCAAAAAATTGTTGCCACAAACATAATTTTGTTCCACCTCAAGTCATATTGGAAAAAAAAAACTATTGCTAAAAAGAGTAGATGATAAACATAGAGGAAAAAAAGAGAGGAATGGCTCGAAACGTCGTTGTCCTCCCACAACGATGGAAGCAATAATAAATGAAACGCCATTTCGTGCGTTGATTTTTATAGCATGATAATGATAGTAGTACTATAATTTCATCGTGTGCTTTAATGTTATCTTCTTAACTGCCATGAATGATGATGATCACAGGAATCCTCCTGATGACAAGATATGGAGGCCCCTACCGTAGTACCATGGCATTTGGAATTTTGGACTCAGTTTTATTTTTATTTATTTGGCATGTGTTAAACTATGCTTTCTTCCTGTTTTATTAACCTTTTTTCCCATTGGCCTCAAGTGGGGAGATTTCAAGGGTCAATTTCAAGAAAAATGTATGTTTGTTTAGTGCATAACAAGATAGATGAAAGGTGCCTAAGAAGATGAATAATGAAACTAAAACTATAATTATTTAGTGCATAACAAGATAGATGAATTATAGGGTATATTATATATATGTTTGTTTTGATAAAGGTGTGATTAAGTTGTGCATTAAACGTCAAGTTAGAAGAAGTTAGTAAATCACTTGACAATGAGGTACAATGTGGTTATAAATTATGTGAAGGAAATTGGGCTGATTGAGATTTTTCATCTCAACTTTTTTGCCGTTTAATTAATCACGTGAACATAAATAAAACTATAAAACTATATCATTTCGTTAAGATTAGGATCTAGGTATTTTATTAATCTCCAGTTGTTTCACTAAAGGGACCAAACGATTCAAGTTAGGTTGGCATAGGAATCTCCTAACATACATATGGGAAACATTTTTTCTTTCAGATGCGTACTATGAAAGCATGAGATTTAAGAATGATTCCATGAGATGTGACTTCCAATTTGTCTAGTGTATTTTTGAAAAGGTGCGAGTATGAAAGCTTTGATGGGTATTTAAAACCTACCCCTAAATTATTGGTACTGAATTTCTTCTTACAGAATAACATGTGCCAATATTGCTAAATTGGAATTCAACCATTTTAGCCATGACATAAAGTCCTTTTGTCACCCATTTATGTACAGACACCAAAAAAGAATTCACCAAAGGGCAATATACTGATTTACTTGGTGTAGCCATGTGATGGATTAATTGCAATATTCTCCCTTTCGTCTCATTTGAATATAGAGTCTGTTCAATGAATTATTTTAATTCAACAAAGTGAACTACATATTTGGAATCGAGGAAATTTTTTTTTCCCCTTTCGCCAAGTCAAAATCATCAAATTTTTGCCAATAGGGGGTTCCAAAAGAATTTCATACCAATACACACCTAGGAGGCAGGATGCTATGTTCTTTCAAAAGTGCGATGTTCTTTTAATCAAAAGGACTATGACATTGAATCTAGAGCTTATTGGAGACATTAGGCATGTTCAGATTTCAGAAAGCTTTTCTAACCAAAATGTGATGCTTTTCTGAAAGATTCCTAAAATTATGATCAATGGCACAAAATAAAATGAAAATAGAAATTTTGAAAAACCAAAAGTACGATGAGCAAATAACAGAAAAGAAGAATTATTGAACACAAACGAAAAGTAAGAGAAGTTTAATGCGTACATGGATTATTTATAGAAAAAAACAATGATATAGTAAAAAAATCTTCATATTGTCACAAGATATTCGATTGCCTTTTTTTTTTCTTTAACCATACATATTCCTCTTGTTAAGAAACACGTTGATTAATTGGGGAGGAAGATTCACTATTGAATATATGAATTCTTCTTGGTTCAATATTTTATTTTATGAGTGACAATTTTAGATAAGGGTATTAGGTTCGGAAGCCAGAGAGAATGGCAACCCATTTCTCAACCCCAATGTGGCGTATATATTTTTAGATTCCTGATTTAGTTTTTCTGGAAGAAGTTTTCTTTGAATGCACTCCATTTTAACGCTAGACTTCTCTTTGTAGAACATTTAGTAGATAATAACTTGATTTATGAAACAAGTATTTTTTTTTTAAATTGCATTTCGTAACAGTTGGGAAAACCATTACGCTTTTGTATATAAAATTAATTCTTTTAACAAAAGGAAAAGTCCAACATAAATATAGCAGATATATATACTTATTTTTAAAAGTTTACATAATAAAGTTTGTTATAGTGATGATATTAGTACTACACCAAAAAGAAAAAAAAAAAAGTTGATAAGGGTACGGCGCATTTCTTACCAGTAGCAGCAGCATCCACTAAACTTTGCAAAAGGATGCCCCAAAAAAGAAATGAATTGAAATAACACCAAATGGAGGGCTTTTAAGGAGACGCATCTCATGTGGATGTGGGGGTATTTATTCTACCTTAAATTGGAATAGTTTATGTTATATATTTACTAAATAAAACCAATAGTAGTCAAACCAAGATAGCCAATAGCTACTAGTCTATTTGCTATCCTTATCATTTTCCATGCTTAATTAATATGCCATTTCATAAAAAATTATTATAACAAAAATAATGATATGCATATTACTAAAATATATTCGGATCACCAAAAAAGAGAATGCCATTTAAAGTAATGAGGTCATAATATGGAATATGAGACGCAACAACCATTTCTTTTGCTGCAACACCATCATTAGCTATTACAGTAAACACTATTTGAAAATTTAATATGTTTATAAATTAATGCTTTCCTTATTTGAACTTGTTTTAAAAAAGAAGAGTAATGTTTATGAACTAAGACAGTTTTTTTTTTTTTTTTATTCGAGGGAAGGAAAACGAAGGATTTGAGTGTGCATGTTTACCGGAATAGAACAGCAAGGAAAAATGTAATAACTGGAAGAGTATTAGTTGTTGCAGCAGCCAATGTTGCAGTTGTTTGACCCAAAGCCACCATATTAATGTCCAAGCTCAGGGTGATCCTACCCCCCGAAAAAAAAAAACACAAAAAAATAAGGAAAAAGAAAAACAAATTTTATTTATGTAGCTCTTGATCAACTTCATTAATTCTTAATTATTGGAATATTTTGAATGTTCCTTAAACTAAGAAAATCATCCCATCTTCCAGTTTTTGAAAGTTTAGTTGCATAGATCAAACTGAAATTTATATGTATTTGTAAGAAACTGAGAATTTGTCAAGACTTTGAACTTACCCGAGAAGAGAGAGCATAAAAATCTTCAAGAATGTCATGGTGGAGAGAGCTGGTTTTGTTTTCCTTCATGTAACAAGAATAAAAACTTAGACGACATAATAAGACAAATCATTTTGGGACAGAAGAAGGCGTACCTAAGTAAAGAGAGAAAGATAGATGGATGTGAAGAAGGGGAAAAAAAAAAGTACCATTCAAGGAAGAAAGTAATAGGAGCAAGAAAGATGGTGGCAAGGGCTTGTCTGTAGAAGACAAACACAAATGGATTCAGCCCACCACTCAATGCAGCTTTTGAAAGCAAGAACATCCCTGTGTAGATTGTATGTACTATCACCACTGCTACATATGGTTTCTTTCCTTCCATTTTCATATCTGTTTTTGAATTTTTTTCCCTTCTTCTGCTTTTATGTTTTTCCTGTTTTTGAGATGGGATTTTTGTGTAATATAGTTGGGTTTATTTGATGATGATCAGCAATTTCTGTCTGTTCATGATCAAAAGCACACTTAGATCAGTGGAGGAGGATGAGGAGAAGTGATGATGATGAGGTGTTTATATAGAGCAAGTGATGAAGTGAAGGGAGGGGAAGTGAAGTCAAGTCAAGAAGGTACTACATGAAAGTTTTTATTACTGTTACGTGTATAAAAATCTAACGTAACTTTTTTTTTTTTTTTTGTGTTAAAATTTGATCGTGTTTCAATGGAGGCAAAACACAAAACAAATTTTTCCACTACATTAAGGTATGATGAATAATTTTCTTTCGGGTATATTACACACCCGGTGTCCAAATAATGTTATTTTTTTTTTTGGTATAAGGCATCGAAAAAAAAAAAAATCGGATAGTTACTTCACTTCGCCCATCTTAGAATTCACTAACGAGCTCAAAACATTTGTTACAAATCTATTTTCCTATATGTATGATTTAGTTAGATACTTTCGAGTAGACTCAAATGTGTGCTAAAAATCGATTTTGCTACTGATAAAAGATAGTATTAATTTTACTACTCACATCTACCCAACTCGTTTAAATTCTTTTTTTCCCCCTCTAATATGCAAGGTCCAATCATGAAAAAATGTAATAACGAGTGTTACATCAAAAAAAAAAAAATGATAGCTGGGGTAATTTACAAATTTATTTTATTGTGATAATTACGTGCACGCGTGTTGGTATGCTAGTTAAGTTGATTTGTTTGGAAGGAGGGGCTGCAAAAACGAGAAATTATTCAGTGCAAATACTGTACCACGTAACATTGTGCAGTCAGACATAATAATAGGGATAAAATAGTAATTTTGGAGGAAGAGAGATAATTTCTACGGGAGTTATATCACCAAAATAGGGGGGTGCTAGTACTTCCTGCACTAAAAACTAGAATACAACAGCTGTACCAATAATTTTTCCGCAAAATCAGTCACAAAAGGTCGTTTGTACAGTTTGTATACTCTGTTTTAACAGTTATTTCTCCATTATTAGAAATTGTTTTCTATTCTTTTATTTAGGTATTTAAAAAAAGATATTTAACGGAAGTTCGCGTCCGTAACCTCCATGGTCAGGTATTGTACAACGTAGTGTAGCTACTGTGCTAAGCTGATGATGATTTCATTTCACATTCAATTCAATCCAGCACGAGTTTTTCCTTCTCTTTTTGATCGAGCCTTGATATTTATCTTTATAATAATCCAAAATAACACATTTATGACTACAGTTTATTCTACTTTATCTGTTATCAACAGGAAAAATTGATATTTTCATCCCAAAGTTTTTGTGTCACACAAATAAGTCCATTTCAAACTATATAAAAAAAGTTGAATATTCGTTTTGAGATTTTTAAAAAATGATGTATTTTCAGTAACAATCATTATTTTTTGAAGGAACAAACAAAAGCTGTTATTTTAATTTTATTGGAAGACGATGGCCACATAATCTATGTAAATTTTCGAATAAATGTAATAAAAAAACATCACACAATACTCCATAGTTTAATAAAATTATATTATGGCCGAAAATGAACACCAATTTTCGTGATAAAAATTCTATTTTTCAAGTTATTAAAATCGTGATGATAGATGTTCAATCAAAACTTACCCAACGAAAAAAAATCTTATATACGTACGATGGAAATCATATCAGATATTATTCATATATAACGTTACTCTCCATTTTATGTTCACGTTACGTATCACTTGATGTTTATTCTTAAAACCAAGGATCGATTTAAGAAAATTACTACAAAAATCTGACAGATATATGCAAGCTATATATGAACTATATAATCATTGGGAAATTAAATCTATACAAGGTTTTTTTTTTAAAAAAAATTTAAACTTATTATTAAAATTAAAAACTGTTAAAAAAAGAAATTAGAATTAGCAGTTGTTATCATTATTATTGAAAATAATTTAAAAAATTTTCTTTTATGATAAAAATAAATGAAAAAACAAGAAGGCACCACTTGTTGTACGGTATCGGGTTTAGCACACCGTTACCCATTTATTTATAAATTTTTTTTAAAGAAAAGAAATGGGACCTAATTATACCTAAACCTTAAGCTCATTCATTTAAAGCTGACAAACTTACGTCGAGGAAACTTTTAACCGTATCACTTTTACATGAAGAAGTAGAGGATTTCTAAAATGAAGTCACAATTAGTTGAACTATTTATAATACACCCAGATAGCAACTTTCCCCTCAATTTAAGTATACAGGTGGAATCACAAAATGTTCTGTTTGTACCAATAACGTAACTTCAACTTTATTTAGCCTCAAAAGAAAAAAAAGAAAATTCAACTTTATATATTTGATCAAAAGGACCTTCATCCAATCCTCTAACTTTATTTTAATCTCATTCGTTAATTTTTCTATTGACCTGTCAAGAGGGTCAGATCGAATCATTAATAATCAACATTTTGACAGTTTAATTAAATATTAACTAGAAAAGCAGGGGACACTAAATTAATTAAACAGTTAAAAGTGAGCTAATCCCATCGTTTCATCCATTTATTTTATTGTTTCCGTATTTTCCTGAAGAGATAATTATTTTTATGAACATGTAGAGAAACGATCCAATACTTATTGAGATTTAACAATTCAATGAACCAATCCCGTTTCATGTTAACTTACGTAATGAGTTAAAGTGTGTAAAAGTATCAAAGAGACGATTAACTCACTAATCATCTCCTTAAATAATTGTTTTGTTTGTATTTTTATGAGTACAATGTTCTAAAAATAAAAATCCAAATTGGTGAATTATTCCGCGATAATAAAAGTATCATTTTCTCTATTTCAAAGTGATTATTTTGTTTTGGATATCTTGTACTATAAGTGAAAATATAAGGTGATAATTATTTTAGAACGGAGAGATATCTAATTTCATGTTACCTGTTATTAGTTAAATAGTGAAAAATATATCAAATAGACGATTATCCCAATAACTATCTGTTATTTTTTTTGGTCCTTCTATAATAAAATTCAAATCGAACAATAATTTTGGACAGAAAGAATATTGTTTCCTCTATTCTGAAATGATTATTTAGTTTGCAAATAAGAATATAAACTAGACAATCGTTTAGCAAAGCATGAAATTTTTTTTTTTTTTCGGGTTTAGTTTCTCCCTAATATATGCTAGCACTAGTTTCGGATTAGTTAATTTGAAGCGTTCAGCACGAAGTTTTATAATAGTATCTTTGAAGTGTGACGGTTCATCTTCTATAGTTTCATTGTACTTTGTAAAGCAAATCAAAATTATACAAATTTGTAAAGTAAAAAAACAACTTAAATAATTAAATAGCAGAATCAGACTTTTTTAAGGTGAACTTCCTGTCTTTTTAACTCTTTCTCTCGCTTTCTCTTCTTTTTCTTCAATATTTCTATGTTAAACTGCACGTGCTTGTAAGATTAGAAATACGTATGGAAATTTATAAAACACAAAAAATCAATGGAAAGGGACGAAAGTCAATATATCCAAAACATATTATGAAAAAGATATTGAAGGACTTGCGATTTGTATCGCTTTCAACTTTTTTTTTCCTAATAATTAGCTAGATTACCTCGTAGGGAAAACAAAATATCCTGTTTAGCTCTCTCAATTGGTGGATATTGTTGTCGTTAACTTAAAAAAATTAGTGAGTAACAGTCTATACATTCGGTCGATCATTTGTCAAAATCAACATCGAGAAATATTACGAATAAAAACATTCATGCAAGTGGGACTAATATTTTATATGTTTACAGTTTTCACTTTAACTAATGACTGATGGGCACAGAGACACTCAGAATATTGTGATGGGGTCTTAATTGGAGTGTCATTAGCATGATTTATGCAACTATTAAGGGAAACCATTTTGATAAAAAGACAATTAATTAAGGTAAAGCCTAGGCTTTTATTATCCTGAACCAGGAGAAAAATGTCGAATCTCTTAGTCGAATGATAAATACTTAATAAATAGTTCTATTTGTCAAAGTCACCTTGGACTCCACACTTAAAACCAATTAACTGTAAGTGGGTTGGCCTTTGGAACTTATAAACAGGTGACAAATTCTTCACGATACAAATGTGAGATTTTATTTCCCAACACCCCCTCTCAAGCCCATTGAGGTTGCACAACACAACACAATTCATGACAAGTTCACCCGTGTGCACGGATGCAATTCACGTAAGTCCAAGGCACACGGGTCCATAATTCTTCACCACAAACCCACCCGTGCACACGGAAGCGATTCACGCAAGTCCAAGGCGCACGGGTCCACAACTCTTCCGGGCTCCCACTCGTACGGGAATCATTGGGATCAGCACTAGACGCACGGATCCTTAGTTATCTCAGGTCCACAGATCGTGGGCTCTGATATCATGTCAAGGTCACCTTGGGCTCCATACTCAAAATCAATTGGCTGTGAGTGGGTTGACTTCTGGAACTTATAAATAGGTGACGGATCCTTCACGACACTGATGTGGGGTTCTTTGTCCCAACACCCTCCCCCAAACCCAATGGGTATTGGCCCATTGGAGTTGCACAAGACAAAATAATTCACCACAAACTCACCCGTGTGCACGGAAGCGATTCACGCAAGTTCAAGGCACGCAGGTCCACAACTCTTCACCACAAGCCTATCCGTACACACGGAAGCGATTGACGCAAATCCAAGGCACACAGGTCCAAGCCCGCACATGCGGATCCATAGTTATCTAAGGTCCACAGATCGTGGGTTCTGATACCATGTCAAAGTCACCTTGAGCTCCATACTAAAAAACAATTGATTGTGAGTGGGTTGACCTTTGGAGCTTATAAACAGGTGACAGATCCTTCACGACAGCAATGTGAGATTTTATTTCTCAACACTATTTTGCAAGTTCCTTATTACAAGCCGAGCATGTATGTACGAACAAGGGAAATTAATGACGCATATTAATATTTAAATTCTCAATGTAAATGTTACACATATAGTAGATTTTCATCCATCTGAGTTAACAAAGTGTAATAAGAGCATCCACCATCGGCAAGATCACCCCAACTATATAGATTAAAGATTTTGTACCTTATTAAATTCAAAATTAAAACTAACTCATCATATAGAAATGCCGAATCAACTTATTGTTATTACATT